CCTTGTGAAATTATATAAATTTCGACAATTTTTATTATATTTATAACTCATCCAAGTGATTTTGTTGCCATTATCCGATTCCCAATTTCAGAACTCGACAGCAGGTGAATTGACCTGGTTTTAAATGTCGATGAAATAGAAGATACTTACTCGTCTTGAGCTGCCAATCCCGTATTCACGAAGCTATTCTCAGAATCAAACATGGAATCTACTCAACCCAATTTTCTTCTAGCTTTCTTGATTCATGTGACAGTTTTAAAACATAATGTTTAAACATTGAAAAATGTATTCGGCTGTAAGTCTCTCCTAAAGTTTCTTTTAAAAGGGTGAACTGACCCTGCTTCCAATTTTAATCATGCTCTTTTCCATTTTTTTAAAGTTCAATTGATTATGAGTTCAAAGTATGATTATCTTAACACTGCAGTATTATATTTCTTTTCTTTAAATAAATAAATATATCAAAAAAATGCACAGGCCTTACCATAAACTTGATAGTATGTTTAACCAAAAAATTGGTATATAATTGAATTACCGTCAATCTTTCTAGAAAAAAAATCGCAAAAAGAAAGCGAATACTCTAAAGGTTGGTATGGTGTAAAGTATTACTTTCAATGTCAATTCTTAATGTAAGCGTTGTACAACATTTATACCATATGCTTGTACCTGCACTGTTTCTTTCTAGCTATTTTTAAGTAAACAGTCATTTAAAGGGAGTTAATAGGTTATATATACAGCAGAGTTTTCCCCCCTCGATTGCAAACATGTTATATTGTATTTCTCACCCTCATGCTTGCTATGTATATCTCTTGCATACGTTTTGTGATCTCTGTTTATAACAAAATCTTTAATTAAGATCTCCTACAGCACATAATAAACCTACGGCTCTTTATATACGATTGGACTATTATTTAATTCAAAGGATTTTTGCATATGATAAAGCGGAACGATCCAGTTGTGCTAGCTTGGAACTGGCCTTTAATGAAAACATTCCAACTTAATTCATGTATGTACAAATATCGTAATCTAATAGAAGAAGAAAAAGAGAAACGTTTTTTTCCGGAATTAACTTCGTAGCCACGTAAAATTCTTTCCTACAATTAAGATTAATTGACAAGTTTTTTTACACTGTAACGTTACTTGAAATGACTCGTTCACAATATATTAGACTGATTGAATACAGTTTAACTTGTTATACATACTCCATAACGTAGGCGAATCCATCATTGCAGCGAACACTAATAAACAACCTAAATTCCATGGTAATAAAATGTGAAGGGCGAAATCCATGCAGGGCGAATATGGATATTACTCGCTAAGGGCGAACATTTTCCGATTTCTTGTGCATCAAATACGATTTAGTGAAAAACTGAAACGAAACGTTTCACCGGCCGCCATATTGGATCAACTTCGAATGAGACGTTCCCGACGAACAATCGTTGAGGAGCAATGCCACAGTCCTTTTTAAAGGATCACCTGGTTTGTATCGACGCAACTGGTGTGATCCGCTTATTGGAACATTTAATATATAAAATGCATATCGTGTCAATTTTAACATTTGATATATCAGCATGTATGTATGTTTGAAAAAATAGAAGTACTTGCCCAACTTCTCAGTTTGCAGAATCATATTCAAGATTTAAATTAAGTCAACGTCTGGCAATTGTTTCGTTATTTTGTTTTTTGTTTTGTTTCAAATGTGCTGCTTTGTTTTAGTACCTTGCTTATTATTTATCCCTGCTATAAGGACCTCATGTTTGTCGTCAATGTGTTCTAAACAAATCTTGCAACTTGCGTTAAGTATTGCGACTTTTCGAGTTTTGTATTTCATCTACACAATGTTTTTTTTTTTACCAGTCGTGGTAAATTATACGGCATTTCAAAACATCGCGTTAATGAAATCAAATGATGCGACTTGTCACAAAACTTATCTACACAAGTCATGTTCACGTAGCATAACCTATACTTGATGGCAAAATTATGCAAAATAGAATTGAAGATTGATCTTCACATCCAATCAATTCCAACTCTAGATTATACAGAGTAACAAAACGGTATAATCCTGCTTTCTGATACTGAGAATGGTAGTTTTGGGAGAAGGTGTTAATAAGTTGGAATGACTTGTTCCTAATCCCGTGTTCAGAGATTAACAATGTAAATGTTTAAAATCAAATGGTAGTAGGAAGATTTGATAATGGTTTGGTTGAAAAAAACTAAAAGAGCCAACGATAAAACGTTGCACTTTATGATTCTGATGAAGTTTCCAAATCCAATACAAGCAGAAAATGTTATAACGATTGTACGCATGGATTAAGTTTTATGATATTTTTTCTGTTGATATAATTACAGACTTTTCATATCTTGGGGTGTGATTTGAATATTGGGGTAAAGAAATACAGACTTGTGTTTTGTTTTTATTTTGGATTTCAAAAAACTTCTATTTTTTTTTTATATGTTGGTACTTTTTTGAAAGACGAGCCTTATCTAATTTAGCCATTCGTAAAGTTAATCCAACGTTTAGATAACCAGTTACTATGTGACAAGCTGGACCATAGTTCTATGGAGATGAATAACATTACAAACTGATCATACCTAACCTCTGAGACGGGCAGAATGTATCAAAGTTATCCTCACCTGGGATTTTACTTTCAATTTATAGCCTTCTGAATACCTCACCAATTTATCAACGGAGCAGAAGAAATATAAGCTGCAAGAATGACTAATCCCTCTGGGTTGGCCTGGACCTCAAGGTAATACTTGGTAGCATGAATTTTGCCTTCTCTACATGCATATTAATTGAATATATTTGGATAAAAGGTTAAAGATAAAATCTCTCACTTCATACGTAAGATGAATGCTTGTATTAGTTTACCTCTTTTCCCCTCCATATTATCGGAAGGGTTTCAAAGATTTACCTACATCTCCCCTAATTTGCCTTATCCATCCGTCTATACCAAATTTAGTTCATTTTCCCGAAAGATGTTTTAGAAGGAATTTGGTGAATATTTATTCTATTTATAAGACAGTGAAGAATTTAAAATTTTCCTCTATTTCCNCCCCCCCCCCCCCCCCCCTTCCTCATCGTTGCTTCCAGGAGAAATTTTGTTAATTCCGTTATTTAGATATAATCTTCACTTACCTGGTGTCAGCGCAGAGTAGGGGTTGGACAGGACTACCCGATGAAATCTAACGTGGTTGGACAGGTGAACCCATTTCTTTTCACGACCGATCGAGGAATCGAACCCCCTCTGTCCTTGTGAAAGGCGAGTGCGATGTCAACTGTGCTAACCCGACCAACCTGCCCCTCTACCCTCGGGGAGGACACCAATTCTACGAAATTTAGTTCCCATTTGCCTAAAAAGTTGCCCTAAAACATATCTTTTTTAAATCCCTCTGACAGGATAAAAGATTTACCTCGATTCCCTTATAACGACCCACCTCTCTGCTCCAAGTGGGACACATCTTCCTTTTTTACGAAACTGGGTTCATTTGCCAAATTATGCATAAAAAAAATGTTCAAATCCTTACATTGGTAAGCACACAAGAAGTTATTGAAGATTTACATCTATATCCCCTATAGGGTTCCGATCGTCTGAACATTAGGGGGCCATGACTTTCATTTATACAAAAATTATTTTCGTTTCTCAATACAGTTCCAGACAGAATTTGGTTCAAATCCCTCAATTCGTTTGGTTTGAGAAATATTTTTTTAGATAAACCTCTTCTTCCCATATTGAGCCCTGACACCCATGGATGCAATAGAACAAGTTTAATTTAAATCCCACTATTAGTATTGAAGAAAAAAGACTATTTCCTCTATGAGACCCCACTACTTTCCCAAAGTTTGAGACCCGCCCTCCGTTTATATAAAATAAAGTCCTCTATTTATACGGAAAGATTTCAAAATATTTTCTTCTACTATTTTGTTTTTTTTATCAACATGAATTTTCCCACGGATGTCTATTCAATTACTTAGTTTAAATTATGTATCCTAAGGTTTATAATAAATGCATTATTGAAAACAAATCTGTCCTGCCGCTTCTAATATATCCATACCATTCACAATAGCTAAACAAGTTTAAATCTTCAAATGAATATATTTTTATTTAAGATTTTTTTCACATCACGTAATATCTAATTATATATTTTCTACGAAAGAACTTAATTTTTAAGTAACACAAAGGTTCAAATATATGTCAACAAAAGACGTTATGATGAGTACATACATGTACTATACCTGCAATGCATACAGGTACAAGTATTATGGCTTGGGCGGAGGGGATTAAATGTTTGCCCCATTGTTAAGAGATGGCCAATGTCGTGTTATCAGATGTAGATTTATCGTGCAGTATTACTTGACTAACATTCAATACATTGTTATGAAAACAATTTACCTACATGGTCGTATGATTTCACGATCTTATGTAACCTGTTCCCGTAAAACAGTGTATTATCTCAAGACTGTCTGCCTTGCTCCGCTGCATAATAATATAAGTCCGATTACCAATTAACTATGCTTTTGAAAACAATTATGAGTCTAGAACGGACAACAAAGATTAGTATTTCTCATTAATCGGACGGACAGTCAGCAATTAGTCGCGCGGCTTTACTCTAACGTATTGATATCAGTCTTTGGAATCAATGAGTACCTTATATGTATAATGTATCAAATGTCTTTATATATTATTGTACAGTTTGTAAACTTGATTGTTTCCATCGATTGCAAGTCTTGCCACATAAAGATTTAAAAGTCACACGGAATGACATAAAATGAACGACGAACTTTAAAAAAAGGAAGAATACGAAGAGCCAAGCTGCAAAAACTGTTTTCTGCTTAAATGCTACAGAACAGAAATACGCCAAAAAGGTTTGACCACTAAAATGGAAAAATAATATCATAAAAGTTCCTAGGAACCATAAAATGGAAAATACAAATATAATTTATTGTTTATATAACACCAAGGACGATTAACGAATAAAAACGTAAAAAGAGAAGTTTGTGAGATACTTTATAGACAACACCACAATAAAAAAATCCTTACTCTACCATCAGATTACATGTAATCCCCTCGGGAATTTTTTAATCTCTACACAAACTTACAGATCAAACAATGTACAGTAAAACATGGCTTGGGGATATAGCAAGTTTCTGAAATCCACTATTTTGTTATTTCAATACAGCCTGCCAGGCATTAAAAGCAACAGTTCAAACTGTATGTTCCGAAATCTATTCCTTCACTATTATCTGCAGTGGCATATCTGATCAATGTAGAACCTGTTTGACTTGATCATTACAGCGATGTGTTTTAATGGTTCGCTATCAAAAGTCCCGTATATTAAGCCATATCACTAAAACATTGCATCTCTCAATCGATATAGAGCAAAGTTACTCGAAAACTTCTTTTATAATGATAAAATATTCAAATGTTTTACAAAAACGTTACAAGCACATGTTTTCGTCATCTTTGTACACACTTCAATGTCGGTGGTTAAATGTACTTTTCAATCTTCAATGGCAAGCTGAGTACAGAAAGATTGCAGATAATTGTTGCAGGCTGACCACATACGTTTTACGTTGGAGAATGACAATAACCTTTTCACATTTCTGCTGTACACTTGTATTTCCCCTTTTATATTATGGTGAATAGTAAATGTGTACTCCCCTTTTCCAGCGGAAATAGTAAATGACTGCCCATACATGTCCTGAATAACAATCTTAGCATTCTTCCAAACATCGGGTTCTTCTTTTTGTATTTGGTCAATCGCTACATGAAACAGTTTTCTTAACTCCTCTTGTTTTTCATCCACAACTGTTCCTTCATTTCCACACACCGTGAGCTCTAGTTTGGCCATGTATCGTTTGTTTATCTCTTCTACATTGTATTTGGCATTGTAACCCTACAACAAAATACGATACATCATACCGCCATATTACAAATTCAGGTGAGTATATTGTGTTGCATTTTCACGTTATAGCTTACCGTAGCCAATTTTAAAAAAGAAAATTCTAAAGAGTTCCAGATATGAATTGTTTGCCAGAATTCTTTTTGTCAACATATATCTTCAAATAGTTGAAATGTTGACAAAAACATCAGCATAACAGTATGATGGAACTTTTATCATTTCATATACTTTCCGAAGCGCACACGCATGCACACACGCTTCCTAAGCCAATTAGTACTAGAAAAACCTGATTACCTCAACAGTACACTGGTCCAGATCTTTATAATCTTCCATAACCGCTCCTGGAAAATAAAATTGTTATGAAAGAGTTCATCATATGTAAACAAAATATGCTTGTCTCTTGATTAAAAACGGTCCAGCTTAACATGATTTAAGATGACCGCAACACGTTGAAGTTTATTTATTAAATATAAGAAATTATTAGTCATTTTGTCATGTGCTCGACTTGCGGTTATCTGAATGTTTTTTTATCAAGTGATGAATAGGAAATGAGAGTTCAGCGGCAGCCTGTCTCTATCAAGACCTGACACAAAGCAATCCCTCACTCTGCGCTAGAGGGAATTCCTATTAGGGGTTATCGGGGTCGATCCCTCGTCCCTCACGTTAGAGAGGGATGAATACGGCCAGTGTCGACTTTTAAAATGGCGGTCTATAGAGAGGGACAGGCTGCCGCTGAACTCCCATTTGAACTGCAATACGAACTATACCTCACCATTTAATTGTGCATGTTATTATGAAATTAAATCATTAAAGGTCATCAAATATGTATACATGTGTTCATTTCAACTTCTGCATGGTTGCTTGCTTGTGAGAATTCAGAAGGTTTCAATTGTACATTTTCTTTGTTTCAAACATCTTCTTAGAGACCTATATTTTGTGTTTACACAAAAGCAGGCGGAAGGGTGTACATTTTCTTCTGTAGTCATTGACGTACTAATTTCAAACCTTAATGGATTCGGAAGTAGTGTTTCGCTAAATATCCTGAGTAACCGCCAATTTGTCCAAGCTGCCATGGCATTTCAGACAAGTTTGATAGCAACTGTTTTCCGACAGTAATTTTTGAGTTTCGGACTCGATGAGATATCACTGTTATAAGAAAATGACTCTAAAAATATTTTTGAGGAAGGGGGCAGTTGGATTAGCCATGTTAATCTTACTCCTGGTCACCTCCCGACTCTTCCAAAGATGTCTGCAAAAAAAAGGTAACCATATATATATTGGAACTTTTTACATGTGGCTTTTGATATTTACGATATTCATTTACAACAAATATACTTTTTTATGTTGGATGGTGTCAGATTATCACAAGAAGCAGAGGTTGGAGTATTGCATATCTAACTCAAAGGTTTCATTATCAGAAGATCAAATGGTCAAGATTGACGCCGGGGTAGGAGGTGTGATTTTAATGCTCCTGGTTTTTACTGTATTTTATCAGCAAACCAGAATTCTTTTCAAACAAGAACTTGTGGATACCTTCTACACTGCCCCGGGAAACATATGGCCGGTTTTGAATGTCAAAATTCTCTGTTATGATAGAGAAATTCTGTCAAGACCATTTTTGAATGGAAATGTATATAGTACAAAGAGTTCGTCCCTAGTGAAGAATGTGAATGCAACTCGTGTTGCACTACATTTGTGTCTCTTAATTAGCAATGATGTGGAACTTAATCCAGGTCCTGGCCCTAAACAACCGGACTTTGGTAACAACAATGCAGTGAACTGTTCTTGCTGTGACTTACCTGTACTTTTGTTGCAAATTGAAGTCTACTGTACAGACTGTTTTACCACCTGGCATAAGGAATGCCTTTCTGGTTATACTATAGAAGGAGAATCAGAGACTATCTACAAATTGTTTTGTAATGCATGTATTGACAATGCTTGTTATACCAAACCTGAGAATGGAGATTGCGTTTTTCCTGAAAAACTCTTGATTAATTCCAAAGCTAATGGATTGAAAACCTCAACATGGAATGTGAGAAGTCTTGATGAGATCAGTCAAGTTTTATTGTCCTCAAATGTTGATGTACTGGGAATTACGGAAACATGGTTAAACGATAAACACGAGGACAAGGATTTCCATATAACTGGTTATGATTTGATTTGTAAGGGTCGTTCAAATAAAACCGGTGGAGGAGTTGCATTTTATGTAAAAAGTGACTTACCCTATGTTCTGCAAACGGATATTGGTCATGAGTTTTTGGAGTCACTCTGGCTGGAACTGAAACCGGATCACACTAACCCTATCATAATTGGAAATGTGTATAGACCTCCAAAGAGTGATAAAAATGGATGGAGGACTTTGAAGATTCTCTTGAAATGTTTTACAGTGAGAACAAGGTAACCAGTTCGTAGCTGGTAGTGTGTTAAGTCACGACATCGCAATTCTGTTTGTGTGAGACAAATCAGAGTATGCTATAATCATTGGGGATTTTAATGTAAATGTCCTGACCGACTCTCACCTAAGTAGAGAATTTACAACTTTAATGTCGGATACATTTAATATGATTAGTATCATAACGGTTCTACTCGAAATACTGAACATGGTGGATCCTCTATTAATCATATTTGGACAACTCATCCTGAAAGAGTTGCTCATTCGGAGGTGTCTGGCATTGCCATCAGTAAGCATAGGCCTGTAAGTGATATAAGGAACTGTTCCAGAAAAACTAATTGTTATGTGAAAAGTATTCGGTACAGGTATATGAAAAAATTTGACAATAATAATTTCCAGAAAGGTATTGAAGCTCTACCATGGTCGACTCTTGAAATTTTTGATTTAGATCAAAGAAATCATTTAGAGCTAGTATAGTACTATTCCTGAATGGTGGAATGATGACATATAGCCATTCAGATACGAAATAATCACAAAAGAAATAACCACACTGAATTATATAGGAAATGGCGTAGTAAAGTTACATATCTTATAAGAAATTCTAAGAAAATGTTTTACCAATCAGTTTTAGATGAATTTAAAAACTCTGCCAATGATAATTGGAGAAATTTTAGAAAAATATGTCATTGTACAGTATGTGTTCATTTATACATAAAAATGGTAATGATGTAACCGATGCTAAGGAAATTAGCTACATTTTTTTATTTCACCAGTATGTTGATGAAAGATTGTGACCCCTCAGTGATGTTACAAAGTGCTAGTACTTTTACTACAGAGAAACTTGGTGGTGATACATTTTCTATATCACAGATGGATGTTTCATTTGTTGTACATGAAGGGGTTTGATATTAAAATGCAACTGGCTTGGATGATATCAGCGCAGTATTTTGAAAACAATTGCTGAAAGTGTAGCACCAGTTCTGTGCAAAATAATGAATCATTGCATTGACACTTGTACTTTTCCTACTGTATGGGGAAATGCAAAAGTAGGTCCTTTATTTTAAAAAGGGTGACAAAGAGCTGGTTTCAAATTATAGACCAATATCGGTCCTTCCTGTATTATTTAAATGTCTTGAGAAATATGTACATATTCATCTCTATGACTTCTTAACACAGCACAGCTTGTTATTAGAAACTCAATCTGGTTTCAGACCCCGTCACTCATGCCAAACAGCGTTAACAAATAGTACAAATGCATGGTATGAAGCTATTGATAAAGGGTGTCTTACTGGTGTTTTAGTTTTAAATTTTCGCAAGACGTTTAACCTGGTTAACCATAAAGTTTTATTACAAAAACTGCAGCTTTACGGTTGTTCTGTAAATGCATTAACAATTTTTCAAAGGTTACCTTCATGATAGTTTCCAAACTGTGAGTATTAAGAAATCACTGAGTGATAGTCAGCAGCTTACAGTTGGTGTGCCCCAGGGATGGATACTCGGTCCCCTGATGTTCATCACTTAAACAAGCACTGTAGTTCACACATGTATGCCGATGATACCACAGTTGAGACTAGTGATAAATCCATTGATGTAATAAATGACAAACTTAATGCTGACGCAAATCTTATTTCTAAATGGTGTAGTTCTTATTAAATGTGTTTTAATACTGAGAAAAAAACATTGTTAATTGGTACATATCAGTGTAAGAGCAGGCAAAATCAGAACCTGAATGTTGTTATCAATGGCACTGTAATTGAAAATGTAAAAACAGAAAAACTCATTATTGTCACTATCGATGAATGTTTTTCTTGGAATGCACCTGTTAACGATGTATGCAAAAAGCTGTCTTTTAACATTTTTCAAACGAAACGTTTGAGATTGTTCTTAAGTCAGGGTTCCTGTTTAACATGTTACAACTGTTTTGTGAATCCACATTTTAACTATTGTGAAAATACCTGGGGAAACACCTCTCAGGTAAATGCAACCAAACTTGATAAACTCCAGAAAAGAGCAGCAATGGTTGTCTTGAACTGTGATTTCAATACTCCACCAAGTGACATGTATAAGAAGTTATACTGGCTACCTTTTTCAAAATGTTTATTGCACAATCAGTTAGTTTTAATGAACAAAGTTTTACATGGATTGGCTCCGCACTATCTTAACCATTTTAAATACACTACGGATGTCCAGTCAAGAGTGACTAGATCTTTGGCTAATAACCTGTTTTACCTACCTTCATTTAAAACTAAAATGTTTAAGAAATCTTTTACCTACCAGGGACCATATACATGGAATATTTTACCTAAACATGCTAGAAATGCACCCTCACTATTGTCTTTTAAACAGAGTGCAAAAAAGTTTTGTATGGACTCTTAAGTACTTTATAGATGTATTTCGTCATGTTTTATTCTTATGATTCTCTGTTTTATGTACATTTCGTAAATTATTGTATATTTTATAACTACTCGACCAAATGTTAGAAGAGTCGTTGACTCAACTTTGTCATCAAGTATAAATAAAGACTATTATTATTATTATTATTATTATTATAAAATCTCGTGGTATTTATCATTAGGTCAAATTACTATGAGACATACTATTACCAGTTGTTAACACATCAGATAAGTGTCCTTAATGTATTATTCTTTGTTATTATTTGTTTTATATTATGGCTAAAGTGTGTTTTCCATATACAGAATTGTTAAAGACAAATTATCCACAAGAAATAGAACAAGAGGCTGAATCGTCCACCTTGTATTTATCTTATTTTTTAATCTTAAAAGTGGACTATAATACAGCTACAGGCAAAATACAAGAGTGTGATTCAAAAGAATATATTAAAAGATTTAAACATGTGACACGTGTGACCTTTAAAGACAAACAAGGATATTAGGTTGAACAGACTTTATATCAGAAGGCTTCTGGCCAAATATCACTACCCTGGACCTTTAGATTATTTAGATGTTGTTTACAGATTTTAACATATTTGACTCCTGTGACCTTGAAAAAGGTGAAGGTTATTCATTTGAACAAACTTGGTAACCCTTCATCCAAGCATGAATCTGGCCAAATATCATAACCCTGGTCCTTTGAGTTATAAAGAAGAAGTCGTTTTCAGTTTGCATCATATTTGACCACTGTGACCTTGAATATAATTCAAGGTTACTCATTTGAACAAACTTAGTAGCCCTTCATCCCAGCATATTACTGTCCAAATATCATCATCCTAGGCCTCTGGTTATTCAGAAGTTGTTCAAAGGTTTTAAACATATTTGACCACTGTGATCTTGAATATAATAAAAGGTCATTCATTTGAAAAAAAATGGTAGCCCGTCATCCCAGCATGTAACTGTCCAAATATCATCATACTATGTCCTGTAAAGCGCTTTAGAGTGGTTAATGTTAGCTAGATAGGCGCAATATCAAATGTTGTCTATATTGTCTTATCTTATCTTATACTAGGCCTTTGGTTATTCCAAAGAAGCTGTCTAAAGGTTTTAAACATATTTGATCCATTTGACCTTGAATTTAAGTCAAGGTCATTCATTTGAACAAACTTGGTAACACTTTATCCCAGCATGTTTCTGGCCAAATATCATCACCCTATGCATCTTGGTTATTCAGAATAAGTTCTTTAAATGCTATTTTTTTTTTATATTTGACCCCTTTAAATACGGTAGCCCTTTATCCAAGTATGTTACTGGCCAAATATCATGACCCTGGGCCTCTGGTCATTCAGAAGAAGTTGTCTAAAGGTTTTAAACATATTTTTTCCCTTGACCTTGCATATAAGTCAATGTCATTCATTTGAAAAAACTTGGTCGGCCTTTATACAAGTATATTAGAGGTCAAATATCATCACCCTGTTCCTTTTAGTTATAAAAAAGAAGTCGTGTTAAACTTTCAACATATTTGACCCCTGTGACCTTTAATACAAATCAAGATCATTTATTTGAACAATTGTGGTAGCCCGCAATTCCAGCATGCTACTGTCTAAATATCATTACCCTAGGCCTCATATTTATTTAGAAGCAATTGTTTAAAAAGTTTTCAATATACTTGACCCCTTAACCTTGAATATAGGTCAAGGTCATTCATTTGAACAAACCTGGTAGCCCTTCGTCTCAGCATGTTACTGGGCAAATATCATCACCGTATGCATTTTATTCATTCAGAGGAAGTTGTTTTAAGGTAATGAATATATTTGAAAACTGTGACCTTGAATATTGGTCAAGGTCATTCATTTGAACAAACTTGTTAGCCCTTTATCCATGCATGTAACTGGCCAAAAATCATTACCATAGGTATCTTGGTTGTTTAGAAGAAGTTGTTTAAAGGTTTGAAAAATAGTTCACCCCTGTGACGTTGAATATAACTCAAGGTCATTCATGTGAACAAATTTGGTAGCCCTTTATGCCAGCATATTAATGGCCAAATATCATCACCCTATGCATCTTGGTTATTCAGAATAAGTTCTTTAAAGGCTTTATATATATTTGACCCCTTCAAACATGGTAGCCCTATATCCAAGTATGTTACTGGCCAAATATCATGACCCTGGGCCTCTGGTCATTCAGAAGAAGTTGTCTAAAGGTTTTAAACATATTTGATCCTCTTGACCTTGCATATAAGTCAATGTCATTCATTTGAAAAAACTTGGTCGGCCTTTATACAAGTATATTACAGGTCAAATATCATCACCCTGTTCCTTTTAGTTATAAAGAGGTCGTGTTCAACTTTCAACATATTTGACCACTGTGACCTTTAATACATATCAAGGTCATTTATTTGAACAAATGTGGTAGCCCGCAATCCCAGCATGTTACTGTCTAAATATCATTACCCTAGGCCTCATATTTATTTAGAAGAAGTTGTTTAAAAGGTTTTCAACATACTTGACCCCTTAACCTTGAATATAGGTCAGGGTCATTCATTTGAACAAACATGGTAGCCCTAAGCCTTCATCCAAGCATGCTACTGTCCAAATATCATCATACTAGGCCTTTGGTTATTCCAAAGAACTGGTCTAAGGTTTTGAATATAGTTGACCCCTGTGACCTTGATAAAAAGTAATTGTCATTCATTTTAAATAACTTGGTAGCCCTTCGTCTCAGCATGTTACTGGGCAAATATCATCACCGTATGCATTTTATTCATATAGAAAAAAATGTTTTATGGTTATGAATATATTTGAAAACTGTGACCTTGAATATTGGTCAAGGTCATTCATTTGAACAAACTTGTAAGCCCTTTAACATGTATGTTACTGGCCAAATATCATTACCATAGGTATCTTGGTTGTTCAGTAGAAGTTGTTTAAATGTTTGAAAAAATAATTCACCCCTGTGACGTTGAATATAAGTCAAGGTCATTCATTTGAACGAATTTGGTGGCCCTTTATGCCAGCATATAAATGGCCAAATATCATCACCCTGGTCCTTTGAGTTATAAAGAAGAAGTCGTTTTCAGTTTGCATCATATTTGACCACTGTGACCTTGAATATAATTCAGGGTCACTCATTTGAACAAACTTGGTAGCACTTTATACCAGCATGTTACTGGCCAAATATCATCATCCTTTGCCTCTGGTTATTCAAAAGAAGTTGTCTAAAGGTTTTAAGCATATTTGATCCTTTTTACCTTGAATATAAGTCAATGTCATTCATTTGAGAAAACTTTGAAGCCCTTTATACCAGCTGCTGGCCAAAAATCATTAACCTTGTCCTTTTGGTTATAAAGAAGAAGTCGTGTTCAACTTTCAACATACTTGACCCCTGAGACCTTGAATATAGGTCAAGGTCATTCATTTGAACACACTTGGTAGCCCTTGATCCGAGCATGCTACTGTCCAGATATCATAATCCTAGGCCTCTGGTTATTCAGAATAAGTTGTTTAAAGATTTCAATATATTTGACCCCTGTGACCTTGAAAAATGTGAAGTTCATTAATTTGAACAAACTTTGTAACCCTTCATACTAGCATGTACCTGGCCAAATATCATAATGCTGGTCCTTTTGGTTATAAAGAACTAGTCGTTAAAGATTTCAAAATATTTGACCCCTGCGACCTTGAATATAATTGAAGGTCATGATTTAAACAATCTTGGTATCCCTTCATCCCAGAATATTTCTAGGCAAAAATCATCACCCTAGGCCTCGTGGTTATTCAGAATAAGTTGTTTTAAATATATTTGACTGCTGTGACCTTGAAAATGGATGAAGGTCATTCAATTGAAAAAACAATTGGTAGCCCTTCATCCCTGCATGTTACTGGCCAAATATCATCACCGTAAGTCTCTTATTTATTCAGAAAAAAGTTTTGAAAGTTTCGAACATTTTTGACCCCTGTGACCTTGAATATAAGTCAAAGTCTTTCATCACCCTATGCCTCTTGGTCATTCAAAAGTAGTTATCTAAAGTAAAAAAGTTAACGCCGGACGGAAGGACGACGGACGCCACACCATGGCATAAGCTCAGCCAGTTAGATCAATATCAACTAACCGCGTCCCCAATGTGATAGTATATCACATTGTATAGTATATATAAACTAAATCGAATTTCTTAACTCAATTTAGAAAATTACATATAATGTAATTATTCAACTCAAAGTAGGGTGGTACGAATTAGACATGACATACCTGTATGTGAAAATCCTTTTCTTGTACTTCACAATTCACGTCCCAAATCTCGACTGGGTTCTACGACTGAATATGCGAACATATATACAGAAGCCACATAGGATCATCAAAAATATAATCTAAGATAATTACGCATTTTGTTTACTTTTGAAACAAAAAAATCGTTGCATAGAATTTTATTTGCGACCCTATTAATTTCCATCTTTTATTTTTCATTTATTTTCACATATTTACGAGATATCAGTGGTACAATTTGAAACCTTTTCCCCCACTGTGCCTTCGTCCATGGGCCTAGAAATATGATCACGTCAACAAACCGCCTGTTTAATAGAGTAATACACAGGTAGATTTTAACGATACGCACTACCTGCGGAACTCAGTCAGACAGTATAAACTGGATTTTAACAAGGTTGCTTTTTATATTTTGGAAGTGTCTTTTTACAAAACAATCTATACCATTCACAAGAGGTTCTGCAATGTAAGTGAGTATTTTTTTTAAAAGACATCTTGCCTCTGTGCCTTAATCCTTAGTGTTTTTGTGTAACAATATCATTTTTAAATTGTTAAATTATTCTTTACTGTTAAGATATTACCTGTTTGGTTTCGAGAAATACAGGAACTCAATATATATGATATCATATATGTCTGTAAAACATATTTTTACTTTAAATGTACTGTACAAACCAAATCTATGAATTGGTATATACATTCCAACTCCTAGCAGGTTTCCTCAAACCTGCTAGGAGTTTTTTACGTTACCTTCTAGTGGGTAACACCCTGTACGTTATTTCATTGGCGAATCTTCTAATTATGATGTCAAGTAACAATGCTTTGCAACACTTATTCCCCTGTGACGTCATAGCTCATGGCAATTGTTTCTCCTATCAGAAACAGGAATAATGTCTTCCGAATAGAATCATATGGTTTCTAGATAAAATATCTAAACGTTGTGAGAGGAAAAGGTTTCCAAACTCGTGACGGTTGATTATCCTGTTTAACTAACTCTCTTTAGTCAATTTTGAAATTGAAAAAGACACTCTGTAAACCTCGTGTCTTTATATAGTTTAAAAAATAATTAACTCTAGTAAGATTAACATGATAGCAAGCCATCACTTGGTGGTAAATCTCTTTATCTCTGACATTAAAAGCAGTTTTATTCACGTAAATATCAGTTACTTTCTTGTGCTTTCGATTTATGTTTTCTTATCGAAAAACCATTAGTTCGGTCAGTGACATTTTTGTCTTCTATTGTCATTTCCGGCTTCGTACGTGAATCTAAAAAATAGGGTAGGTCAGATACTATTCCTGCTCATAGTCTTCTATAGACAGATTACAATTTTTCTTTCAAATTCAATAAGGATTTCAGGCCTTACTTAGCATGGTCAATAGACTTTTTAAAGTTAAACTGCATGGGAAATATTTATGTGACAAAAATAGATGATTGGGGGGTTTATAAAATACATAAACTAACTACGTTTTCCAAGATCTTCTGGTCACGTTACACTGTCCAGATTGTATAATGAAACGAAAAAGAAACACAACTACAGAATATAGGTTTAATAGGTTAGGCGATTCCTAACTCCTCTGTTCAGTTAATCTTACAAATATTTGATTGGGGACAAATCGTGATTCTGTTACTCTAAAGTGTCGAGCAAACTGAATTTGCTTGCTCCCATCGATAGCATCGCGATAACACGTTATATATCAACTTGTGATAGCCGTTACATATTTGTAAAAGGAACATTTGTTGTAAAAGTATTGGCAATGATACATCGTGGTGTAAGTAATAAATTGGCAAACGAACGCATGTTTGTGCAGGCACGGGTATTTTGATATTTTAGCCGCACCGAATGTGTTTATGTTTTCTCGTCAAACCTGGTTGATCATGAACATGTAGTGTACAGTTTTATTCCCCCGATTTCTATGCAGCTATGTATATCTTATACAAAACACATAAAACATTTAGAAGTTTCTTTTTCGTTTCATTATTATTAGGTAAACTTAATTTTTTTGTGCTCCACGTAGACAATTTCTGTTAAGGCATTTTTATCTTATACCTACAGCTTACAGTGGATCTATCCGGAACATTTTTACCCTTTGTAGTCCTTTTGGCATCCGTCCATGATTCCAAAATATGATAAAGTAATAAAAAGAATAAAACAGACTTGTTAAAAATGTCCGCGCTAATCAAAGATCTTGGTCCCAAAATCCATTTACACATTCCAGATCTCTTCGAAACAGTTTTACTGATAAACTTTTGAAGTTAACAGGGCTGTTTTTCTTATCTTTTGGATAGTCTCTTTTTCTAAACATTTTCTAGTAATATACAAGTCGCTCTGTCATGCACATAAAGACAATTTGATGTGATACCCTACTAGTGTGCTTTAAATCCTTGTGTTTTAGATTTAAGAAAATATGTCCACTATAAATTACTGATACGCATTCTCTACAGTTAAGTCAAGTATTACATGTCTATATCGAGGAACTAATATACCCGATGCAAAAAATAAGTAAATCTTTCTAGAAATTAAGTATCATTGAAAATGTTATGAAACACAGACAGTCACGTACATGAAAAACCAAAAAAAGTATCCGCGGGAGGTTTTTTTGGACCGTTCATCAAATGTGTAATATGCTAACACATATTTTCATTTATTTTTTGCGTTTAAATCATAATGCGATATGCATTCCATATTACAAATCAAATGCAAGTGTGATTCTGTTTTGATCTCTAATTTAGCAATGTGTGTACTTGATATGAAAGCATTTAAATCCATTTTTAGTGATTCAATAGACTTGTTATTATTATTTAAAGACTAATAGAGTAATTTAATATAGATATGTGGGATATGGATATTCTACCCGAAGCTGTAAATCTGGGTCAGATCTGAGGTTCTGATACCGAGTTTTGCACCCGAGAGTAGAATTTCCATATCGAATATATTGACATTATTGTTGACTCTTTTTCTCCTGCCTCATAACTGAAAAATGGTAACACCTGATATAGATAATGCAAATGCAACAATAAAAATAGCAAAAATCCTTAATAATGTTTACACAAAATATGACTATATTTGAAAGAGAAAATTACGGTATACCAAAGATAAGCCTCAAATTAAAAATCCTTGCAAAATATTCAAGACATGCTTATTCAGTAACACTAGTGTTTCTGAGGTGGTGTCACTTGTCGAATGGCAAAATTGTTTCATTTTGACCTTCTGATGAACTTTGGATTGTATCGTCACGATATCAAGCCGTTATCTGATTTTGATATCAGGAGTGCACTCATGTAGAAACACGTATTCACCATGAGTGTTCCTTACCTGACACGTGTATTGCACATATGCAGAGGTGGAAGAAAATACGTTTACCAGTAGTTCATATCCATGTTAAACATATCTGTCTGTGAAAATGCCGTTGCTTCAAACACAATTTTAACTGAAAATTTGACAATATATTCAACGACTGGACATATACACTGTTTCATTAAGTCTTGTTTATCATTTCACTTAAAATTACTTACAAATCTATTTGTAAGATATAGGCAAATATGTAGAAATTGCTGTCATTCCTTAATTGTTGGTTACGAATTGGAAAATTTAATTATGGTCGGAATGTATTTTGAATTTTGAATTTATACTATTGTCATTATTTTTCGTCATTTACACAATCAGTCAACATTTTGTGAATCAAGTTTTAAATGACAGCTGCTTAGCAAATCTCATTGAAAACTTGGCTGGTTATTTAGCTGTCGAATTAAGGAAATAGAACGAAATTATGATATATAACATATAATGAATAGTGGCTTGGACAAGGTAAAAGTGTCTCATTTGTGTTAGGCTAAATACATCATCTTACTGTACATTTTGCATAGACAAAAGGTTAAGAATGTATCATAATACAAAATTATAAGACTACGCATACAATTAGCAAGATCAAAATTACATTGAACTAACTAAGTTGTGTGTCATCTTAGAACAGGGTTATGCAATAAACACACTTCTTTGCTTAGGATATGTCTCTACCACAATGTTTAAACAAAGTCCAAATTTCAAGTCCATTGCCATATCACGCGCCTTTGCAAGCAGGTACTATCTTCAAATCCTGTTGCATACCCTTGTCCGTTTGATCACACGTGGTATTTTCATGTTGTTTATATATATAAATTTCTTTTCAGTTACATTATGGATGTGTTTAATAACAGATGACCAGATCACCGTAAGGCTGCCGAAATCTCGAAATCGTAGGTGATATCACAAAACCATAGTGTCAGAAATGGGCAACAACGAAACTCGTTACCAGACAGCTGAGGTAAATAGTCACCATTTCCTACTTTCAGTAGCACTTGAAACGAGGTGATTTAACAGCCTGTTACTGTAAATAAGTATAAGGAAATGGCGATGTTGGTTGTTAGGCAGATTCCGATCATGTCTGAAACAGATACTGATGCAATCATAAGTGCAGTTTTCAAATCCATATTCAGCGGTCTCCGTTGACGGCATCTCCTATGGATTTTATTCTCGGTGGGAGAAGGTAGCGTTACTTGAATCTAGATCTACCTGGTGGGTGTCTTCTTGAACACCTGGTGTTATTATCCTTGTACTTTTTCAAGAGTCTCTTTTTAAATCAATATTAAAATGAAGTATAATTTTGAACTGTCATTAAATCAGTATGCAGTTAAGAACTAATTAGTAATGCCCTGTGCAATACCCTGGGCATTTTTTCATTGATCAAGTATGAGAGTTATCTGTTAGCAATCTTGACAAAAGCAAATTGAGGGAAATTGTTCTATGTCTATATCTTGTGCTTATACACTATACCTAGCTCGATCAGTTCATAAAATACATGGGATGTGAATTGGTCAACAGAAACGACAGTTATTTGGTAAAAGTTTAATTTCAGACGTTAATATGTGGACATGTTTGAATTGTGTATTGAAGGAGGGTCACAAACAGTTAATCAACATTTTTCATATCATTACTGACATCTGATTATACAAAAATTGCAACATCATAATACTGGCTCTTAGGACATTTTCATTAGAAGTTTTGAATTATTGTAACCGCTGATCTACATGCGTATCTTATTGACGATCCTGTCATTTCATTTTTTTATTAAATCGATCAGATTTAAGCGGAATATTCGGCACAGGCCTAGCCTAGACAACCCCTCTCCCTGGAAGTACATACATTTCAAACAAAGACTGATAATGATATCAACAATGAATATAAACAATGGTTTGGAGCAGAAGGTATAAATCTAGATAATCTGCATATTCGTGTAGTTTGCAAGCAATACTGAAATATTCCAACTGTATTTATATATAGCGGTAAAGATTTTTAAATGTCCATATGACGATAAAAATATTTATCATATGAATACCATGTTATGAAGTGACATAAAGTCATCATATAAATTATGTTTTATGTAACCTGTGTAATATCACTCCCAGAATAACGTCACAATCGAATAGGAACAATCAATGTGACGTCATGTCATGGTGAAGCGGACGCAATTTTCATCGTTTCAGAGGCGGCCAAGTGCAAAATATTCGTTTCACATCACAATTATACAGTTTACTTTGTATTACATGATAAAAAGAATCTGTCATTCGTTTCCCTTCATATTAGATTATGATACTCGTTTGGGATTTTTCATATTTGCTCGCCAGAGGCTCGCTAACATAAACAGTTCAAAATTTTTATCATAAATCTAATATGAAGGGAAACTTATGACATATCCTCTATATATAAAAGAAGACACGAAGACTACAATTCGCTAGCGCCCATCTTGAGGCTTTTCAGGGGATTTGAATTTATTTGTGACATCATAAATGGAGTTCAAATAATTAAGTCGTAAAAAATAATGACGTCATAAACAAAGTACAGATAATACGGACGTCTAGAAATTGCGACATCTTAAAATTATTACATGAATGTACTAAAGTTAAATGTTTCAATGAAATATATGGAAAAAGTAACGGAGCATATTATAAATGCTCAAATGAATACATTGTTCAATAGTAAAAGTTAAAAACATCTGATAGTAAAAATCAATCTCAAAGCACAATACCTGGTTCATTTGGAGATTTGGAATTTGTAAATTTAAACTTATAGTTTTTATTATACTTAAATTTCCCGTGTTCAGGCCCAATTTTTGAACTTTAATAAACATGTTCTCTTTTAATTCACTTTCAATAGTATCTGATGTATTCATTTGATAAAATTGGTAAAAAAAAATTAAAAAAATCAATCTAACACTCATGAAAATGTTTGTTACCTAATAAATTTCGTAAACTTTCAGTTTTGGTTTGTTGGCAATGACTGCCGTTCTTTGACGTAGTTCATTTCCAGTTTGACACCTTCTGCTTAGCTCTTTGAGTACCGTTCAATATGAATTCTTTTGGATAACATTGATTTCTAAGATTATCTACTAAATTATTTAATCGCTCCTTTAACTTATATTTATCACTGACTATGGTAACTAATCTAGATACCAAACAAAATGGTATGTAATTTTTTTATATGTTTGGTGCGACTGGAATGAAAGCCAGATAGTTCTGGGAATCAGTTGGTCTGCAAGACTAATCTGTAGATATTTGTCCGTTTGTTAATTCAAACAACACTTCTAGAAAACAATGTTTATCATCACTAACTCCCATACTATACTGTACATCCGATTATAATAATAATAATAAAATAGTACTGGACGCAGGAATATGCCTATATATCCAGATCAGGTGTATCGTCAGACTCTAAGCTGACACCCCGACAGTTAATAAGTTCATTATTATCAATTTCATGGTTGTAATAGCATTCTGGTTTTCCCCAGTGCTTATCCAGTCGGGCTTCAAACGTTTTTAGTGTTGGTGATGTGACGACGTGGTTTGGCAGTGAGTTCCAATGGTTGACTACTCTTTCTTTAAAGGCATACTTTCTTAAGTTTAATTTACACACTCCTTTTCCAAGTGGAAGGCTATGACTTCTTGTTCGTTTGTGATCGTTTATATTTAAAAACCCTTCCGTTACAGAAGTGTCATAGCATCCGTGTGACAGTTTGTAAACTTGTACCATATCCCCTATTAATCTTCTGTGTTTTAACGTTGGTAATTTTAGTACCTTTAATCTGGCTTGATAACTTAGTTCTTACATTCCTGGTATCTGTTTTGTTGCTCTCCTCTGCACATTTTCAATTTCGTTAATGTCCCTTTGAAGGTATGGATTCCAAATGCAAGCTCCGTATTCCAGATGTGGTCTCACGAGCGCTTTATACAAGAGACAAAAAGTTGTTGCATCTAAATATGTATATGTTCTTCTTATTGTACCCATTTTCCTATTTGCCTTGTTGACCGATTCATGTATATGATCAGTAAATTTAAGTTTGTTGTCTGTAATTACTCCGAGATCCTTTTCTTTGTTAATGTTGTAACGATGGTAAGGAATTAAACTCTTTATAAAAATCAGAGAATTTCTCGCTGGGGGCCAGATGATAAATCAATCACTAAAAATCTCAAATAATCGGAAAAGTCTTTATCTGAACTCTGTTTTATTTTCTCATCAAGAATCTCTTCCAAATATCCTAACATCAAAATAGCATAGGTAAGGAAACTTTAGTACCCGTACATTGCTGATAATGGTAACCATTGAAATAAAAAGTGATTCTTTCTAGAAAAACTTCTAGAGCGCTTATTATAAATTCTTTACTAAATCTTCCGTCTACATAGTTCATATATATATATGTATGGACGTATGTATACTTATTATTCAGTTTATATCAAGAATCATACTGTCAGTCCTGCCCCCAACCCCGACATTTATATTCAGCAATAGACATAACCGAACAGGACATTGCTGAGCAACTCGATCTACTCAATACTAACAAACCTTCAGGCCCTGATTCTTATTCAAAAAAGGGGGTTCCCAGTCTTTTGTGAAACCACTTTGACCACATTATTTGACAAATCTATTTCTACCAAATACATGGGGAAATGTTCATGCTACCCCAATTTATAAGGGTGATAGGGTGATCCATCCCATTAAAGACCGATATCTGTAACCACTATATTTAGCAAGTTGCTTGAAAAGTATATATTGAATTACCTCTCAAGATATAACATTATTTCTAAGAATCAGTCGGGCTTTTTACCTAAGGATTCCTAAGTGTATTAACTACTTATGATATATGATGAAATTGTAAAACATTTAGACAAAGGCAAAGAGGCCAGAATGGTAATCTGTGATATAAGCAAAGCTTTTGACAGAGTTTGGCATGACGGTTTACTCTATTCATTGACAAAAATATGGTATATGTAATAATATGTTAGAATGGTTTACATCATATCGTCATGATACGCAACAGAAAGTGGTCATATATGGATATAAGTCTAATTGGAAATCATTACAGGCAGGGGTACCCAAAGGTTCAGTCCTGGGTACTTTTTTGTTTTTATTCTATATAATGATATTGGTGATGAATTGGCCTCAAACGTCAAACTATTTGCTGATGATACCTCCTTATATGGTCTTATTGAGGGAGACAGGCAAGAATGTGTTAATATTTAAAATGATGATCTAAGAAAAATCTCGATCTTGGCTAAAAAATGGGGAATTATTTTTAATCCAGATAAAACTGTTTCTCCGCTTTTCTCGAGGAGTGTTGACTTCTAGGCTATATTTCGATGATTCACCCATTATGAATTTTTCTAATCACAAACACTCAGGTTTTTCAACAGCAAGGCTAATTGGTCTGACCACATAAACTATATATACGAAAAGGCTTATAAAAGAATTAATGTACTTAGAACGTTGAAATACAGAATTGATAGAAAATCCCTTGAATCTATATATATCACATCTATACGTCAAATTCTAGAATATGCAACTATTGTATGGGCCAACTGTACGCAGAATGAATGCAATGTCTTGGAGTCAATCCAACTAGAAGCAGCACGTATTATATCAGGTTTAAGACGTGGAACAAGTCATGATTTTTTACATAGAGAATCTGGTTTTATTTCACTAAATAGAAGAAGACATTTGCCTCAAAATATTACTTTTCAAGAAATGAATAATAAGAAGCTCAACTCATGTCTATGATTCAAACGTACATAAAAAAGCGTACTGACAATTATCATCATATTCGCCACAATAGATGTTTTGATGTCCCAATACTAAGAACGCAGTTATAAAATGTCAGTTTTTTCCCCGAAACTAATGTCTGAATGGGATAATCCAACTTGCCTGTATCCCAAAATGTCATCCATCGGAGCTATAAAAGGAGATTTTTTACGCTCAGCTGATATGGATTTTCAATGTACTAAATACCATGGTGATCGAAAATTAAATATTACCATATGTCAACTAAGAAACTGTGCCAGTAATCTGAATTCAGATCTATTTGAATCTCACCTAATTGATACCCCTGCCTGCTCATGTAATTCTCCTGTTGAGGGTTGTGATTACTTCTTCTTCAATTGTACTCTTTAACCTAATCAAAGGCAAATTCTCCTGAACTCCATTTCTACTCTTAATGACACTATTCCAATCAATATTCATACCTTTCTTAAAGGATGTGTAAGACTCGATATCAATATGATAACAAGTATTCTGGAGAAGGTTCAGAGGATAATTAAAGATACTAGACGCTTTTACTCATCCCCTGACTTTGCTGTTTGGAAGGATACCAGCACATAATTGTACTTTTGGTATGTGCTGTCCACCAACACCATTTGGCTGATGTTTGTGTAATCTAGTTCCTGCATCACTAATCGACAAAAATATAAAATAGCATACAATAAGCTATTTATATATAATGCATACACATGTTTTGTCATTACTACAACATGATGTGTGTAACTGTGTATTACTGTAAGGATAGGGCACTCATAGGCTTTGCTTGTTGCCCAATTCCTTCGTATTTAAGATCTGAACAAAATATATTCTGAAATAAAAAATGATAAGAAAATATATTCTGCATGTATCTTGAATCATAATTTCATTTATTGTCACTAACATGAGTATAGCAATTGAATTGAACAAGCACATTAAATGTGACTGGACTAAATGTATTAAAAAAATATATAACGCGGGTAAAAACATGTTGGAAACATAATTAACGAAGGTACCTAGATGATCTTATTATCTAAGTAAGTCTGTTCTTTTGTGCGTGATTACATTTGTCACGTGAATCCGATATGTCTCCATTTCACAACAAGCTGTGCGTTTTATCATTTCGACCCTGTGGGCAGTTGTCCCATTTGGTGTATAAAACCTGGATATATTTGAAAATTATTTTTTATTCTCACAGACGATAAACAATACTTTACTTACGCTATACGTTATGTCAGATGCTTATTGCAATCAATCGAATCAATATAGTGACATCGCTCGTCAACACATGAAATCATCATTGGACAGATTTACTTACATCATATCAGATCACCTTCGCGGTAAATTCAGCGCGACATTCTAACTGTGAGCTTGTCAGGTGTGAAGTAGATCTTGAGGCGAAATAGATTTGTTCTGTCTAGCAAATCTTCAAATACATACAAAGTTAAATGATGGTACCCATATTCGACATATAAAACCAGTCCAACGACTCACTTGTTTACCGGTACATTTGCGGTTGATGTTTTTGGTAGAGCGTTGGTCTGTTGAAAAAAATACAAGCTCGCGCATGGTCTAACGTCCTATTATCCATGGTTATTTACAATGGGTAGTGTCGTTTCATCGCAAAATAAGGTAGAATTATTTATGTATAAGTAATACTCTTGTGTTCATTAAGCGTTATCTTCCAGGGTAATTATTTCAATTACATTAAAGGAAATTATTAATAATTATTTCAAATACACATGATATTCACTTTGTGTCGTGATCTACTTTATAATACGTTTGAATCAAAAAGTATACGGTTTTCGTGAAAATTGTCAAATTATTTTCTGACATTTTCTAAAAAAACAACCAAACGTGGCACAACAAAAAAAAATAGAATGGTATATCCGCATGAGTTTGAGAAATATGAGTATTTCAGCTAATTTATAAGAAATCTTAAACATATCGCTAAGTCCATCTAAGGAAATAGTATAATCAAAGATTTGATTACCTGTTGGAATTTTCCCCCTCACTATTCATTAAGATATATATGACATTGATACATTTGTAAAAGGGTATATAATTCATTATCGATTAATATAAGGTTTGCTTTTCTGTTATTGAATGCAACCTCATGACAAATTGTGATGAACGTTGAATACCTGTACGATATGTAAACCTCGCATCCGTTCACCGGCTTAGTAATTTGCTATAATCAGATGCCGATTATCTCAGATTCCATGGTTTCTATTGACGTCCACTAATATTGTAGGTGCATGTTTTTTTCTACGGTCGTACGCGATTTGAATGCATGTATATTGAAATATGGGATTCCCCATATCATATTTAGCCAGTTGCATTGTAAGATGTATTTTAACTTAGCCTTTGATATCACAAGGGAGCTAGTAACATCACTTATTACCTTGTTATCTTTTTCATATCTTCCAAGATCCCAGACGAGGTGGATGATTTTTATCAGATTGTCGAACACGATAATGTGAGTTTGGATTTAGAAGATGATGTGAGTATTTAAAGAGCGTATCAGAATCAACAGAATCAACACTGATCTTACTAACATAGGTGAATGGGCAACAACTTGGGACATTAAATTCAATCCAAGTAAAACAAAATCACTCATATTTTCTAGAAAACAAGACACCCATCACATCCCACTATTTTTCCAAAATAGCCAAATCATAGACACATCATCACATCAACACTTAGGACTTACACTTCAAGATGATGCAACATGGAAACAGCACATACAGAATATATACAAAAAAGCTTACAATAGACTTAATATTCTTCGCCATGTCAAAACTAAAGTCAATAGAAAATCATTAATTAAAATATATATGGGATTTATTAGGCCAATTTTGGAATATGCAGATATTATTTGGGATAATTGTACACAACAGGCAAAAGATATTCTT